CCGGCTAAAAGCGGGCACAAGGTTGATTAAGGTTTTCCCGTATTTCATTGTAATCTTAACCGAAACAAGAACTGTTTGCAGAGTATTTTCTACGCAGAGAGTGGGATATCCTCGCCACATCGCGGGATATACCTAGTTTCGTTATTAATTCGCCGCCCCTGCGCGCTTATACCGGGGGGGAATTATTATTTTATTGCCGGTATAAAGATTACGGGAAATTAGTTGAGATGATTTAGGACGCGATCGCGCGGGATCTCTTCCATCTCGCGCTGAGCTCTCTTATACAGCCCGCGAGCGGATAGAGATATTCTGCGTTTAATCTTGTTTTAATCCTTGGCTTCCCGATGAATGTACAGGTGGGATTAATGGATCGCGAAAATATCGCCGCGATTACACTTGTATTACGGTGGCTCGGGAGGATACGGCGTTCGATACCACCCCGGGTTCCGGAAACATCGAGGGCGAAAGGGGGGCGGAAATCACGTTGCAAAAAAGAAAAAGGAGACACAATATCCCGATAAACCGAGGGACAGTTATTCGACTGAGAGTATATATATTTAGATTAAAAAAAGAGAGTAATGAAACGGAATAAGAGGGAACGAACTTTGGAAGATCGGCACGTACGATAGAAGCTAGGATGCCATGCATCCATTTAGCTTCGCCGAAATGTGGAACGAAGAAACGCGGGAAGATACGGGAGCGGCGAACGAGATATCGCACGCGTGAAAAACGCGCGCGGGGGGAGGATGCAAAAACTCGTACATCACGGGTTATCGCTTGTTTTAGGACGCGAGCAACCAGACGCCAGATCAGAGCCGTTAGGTTCGATTCGTTATATTGTCCGGCTAGATGGTACGCATCCTGTTTAGCTACACTTTTTGCTTTCCCTTCCCTTTGTTGGCGACTGTAAAAATTTCATTGTACATTCGTTTCCCTCTACGCGCGTTCGAGGTTTTCGCTAAAAAGACACGAATACCGATATCCTCCTTTACACGCATAGATGTCTGAGTACGATAATCGGATTCGCGAATTCGAATATCGGAAGGTTGGAATATCCAAAGAGAGCCAAGAATATCTATACTTAATTCGATGTTCGTCTTTATTCCGGAACAAAAGGCTAGTCTGCTGGCCGATAATTTTGTCGCGGGCGTTTCTTTATTATCTATCCGACCCCGCGCGAAATCGTCGACGATGCGAAACCTCGTCGGGGTGCGCTCCCGTAGAATGAAAATGGACGAAGCGTCGCCCTTTTTACCCCTCCTTGATAACTCTCCTCCTTCTCTCGGAGACGACTCGTTGTTCGCGCCCTTCAAACTTTTCCGACCCCACAGAGGTCGATCGACCTTTCCCTTCTCCCGTTAGACATTCGCTCTCGTTTAATATTTCTCTTTTTTCGCCTCATTCCACATTGATACCCTTCCTCGTAGATTGCGCGACATCTCTCTCCCTTTCTCTCCTCTCTGCTTTTTTTCGCTCGATTTCACGGTTGCCGCGACACGGAAGAAAATCGGCGATAAGACGCCAACGGACGATTGTGATGTCTGCGAAGCACTGAAACGGATCGAAGGAAAAAGGAACAGGCGATGATTCTCTCCGATTCTGGCGCATTAAATGCTTTAACTTTGCCTCTTTTTTTTTTAATTATCGAGATATTGTCGATTTTCTTCGGATTTTATAATTCTCGTATCTCCGAGTCCCGAGAGCCCTCGATAGAATCTTCCCGAGGACTGCTTGCATCTTAGTTAAATGCTTGACACTTTTTTTTTGGTTCTAGTAGCTCGTATATTAAGATGCTGATTTGATAAAAACAACCGTGCGCTTGGCGAACGACATTTTCCTTTCCATATAAAATATACGTTGAACTAGCTCGACGGTCGCCCCGCATAGAGTTTTTTAATCTGCCGGATAAACTTTCCGATCTGATGTCGTTCGTCGGCTGAGAGCCGACTTCGTCAGAACTTCCGGTCTTTCCTTGTACACGGGATGTATCTCCTTACGCCGCTACTTACGCCAACTTTTCCGCGAAGCTTTAGGGAGGCCGAGGAGACGAAGTTTGATCCTTCTTTTGCCAAGAGAAAGGGGCAGGAAGTCGTTTAAGATTAATGTGTTCTTCTTACGTTGCTCCTCTGCGACTTGAACGGGATTGCGATCTTACTAACAAGGGAACAAACTGGGAAGTTTTGATTTCAATGAAACTTTTGGGAAATATGTAGAGTAGCTTGTTAGTAGATAAAAAAAAAAAAAAAAAAAAAAAAAAAAAATGTGCGGCCGCGTTATTATAAAATATTAAAAAATCTCGCCCCTTCTCCTTTTCTTCCCATATCTTATATTTTTTGCAACAATTTTTAATATAATTTACGTAAAACGACGCCCTTTCTCTTCACATATATATTATTCCCTTATTATTAGTACGACTTATGAACCTCAAAATTTCCCAAAGTGAAATCTTTTGTTAGTAGATAAAAAAAAAAAAAAAAAATAGTACAAAGATGTGCGCGCCGCGTTATTATAAAATATTAAAAAATCTCGCCCCTTCTCCTTTTCTTCCCATATCTTATATTTTTTGCAACAATTTTTAATATAATTTACGTAAAACGACGCCTTTTCTCTTCACATATATATTATTCCCTTATTATTAGTACGACTTATGAACCTCAAAATTTCCCAAAGTGAAATCTTTTCTTATTTTTAATTTACCAATGCCATTGTCTAAAATGGAAGAACATCCAATTTTGCTCATGTTGTCAAAACACAAACAAGGTAAATGTCAAGGCGTCGCACAATAACGTAATTATAACCGAGCGTCACGTTTCGCTTGACATCGTGCTGCTAAGATATAAAATGGAGAAATGATCGATCACGCGCGACTACTTACTCGACAATTTCTTGACTTTTTCAGTTCCTCCCTTTACTTTATTTCGATTTTTCGAAATTTTTTTTATACGAAAATTAATAATGTTTTAAATTTGGAAATGTGAGATGATTGATATACTATATATATTTTTGTTTCTATTTCTTTTTCTCTTTTGCAATCGCGCTCAATTTAAAATTTTTCAAATTCCAAGAAGACTTCGAAAAGATCAATTATTAAATGTTAAAGCTCTTGACTCTTTAAATATTTTCTTGAGGAGAGAAACTGCGGTGCATTTACGTCCTCAAGTTTTTCTTCCTTGACACAAAGATTGGAAATTGAATATTCATTATTGCCGTGTGTGTGCTTGCAGAATGGACGAGCCAGTAGCGAGAGCAGCGAGGACGGGGCCGGAAGTAGCGCGAGCACTTCGCGAGGAGCCGGAAGTGGATTCGGTCTCGCCGGCGGCTGCACCGGCGGGTGGCGCAGTGTCTTTGGCGCAGTTTCAGGCCGAGAACTCAGACTGTACGAATGCGCGCCTTGGAGTCCAGAAGCTTGGGCCTCGCCGAGCATTACCTGTCCCCTCATCGCGACACGGTAAGAGAGAAAAGAGAGAGAGAGAGAGAGAGAGAGAGAGAGAGCCCTTTACAATATTTACAATTTTGAACAAGAATATATGGTCGTCCTTCTCTCGTTCTTCAAATTCTTCTTTTATAACAGTCGCAGGAGACCAGCGCTACGCTTTCTCAGATATTATCTTCATACTTGAAACTTTTATACTCAAGATATGAAAAACTTGAAATAAAACTTTTTGATTGTATACGCATTATTTTGAAGAACAGCTCTCAACTTATTTTATATATTATCATTCACTTTTTAATGGCAGATTCTCTAGTTAATTTTTTTTAACGAAATTATCAAGGGAGGTTATTATTCTTCCAATTTTTCTATTTTTTTTTTTTTTTGTTAGGTAATTAAGTCTTTTAAATTAAAATTTTTCAAGTAAACTCATAAAGTTAACTGAAGAATATAATTATATTTAAATTCCATATATATAGCTTAATTTGCGAAAGGTTTTTTTTTTTATAGCTTGCAATTTGAAAATTATGAACGCCTTGACGTTTTCATTAAAAAAGGTCATCTTGAATTTAGACAGAATCTAGTATTAAAACAAAATGCTTCTGAAATACCCTACGCAATCTGAAAGACCTCGACATGTTACTTTGTTGTAACGTTTACCGTAATATTCACAATATCGGTTCTTTCCGAAATATCTTAACACATTTGTCTCTCAACGTTTCTTGCCACATTCGCCATGCAAACGTCGTTGTATCGAAACAGCCCCAATTCTCGTCGGTGCTCGTCCGCTTATGGACCAAAATGGCGTAACAATCCGCTATCGCGGTCATTAACGCGACGATTCACGTATCGTATCGACAATCCGACGTATCGACTACGATACGTGAGAGAGCGGAAACGTGCTTGCGAGCGAAACGGGCCACGTATCGCGCCGCCACCAACGAGCCCTACAACCGCGTCACATTGTAGCACGTACGTCTCGTCGATTTCACGCCGGTTGGTGTGAGACCGCCCTGTGTGTCGTACACACGGGGCTTGCACACGGGAAATTAAGCGTGAAAAATTCACCGATGTCGCGTGCGAGGAGAAGCGACGCCGCGTGACAAGCTACTCCCAATGAAGCGCGACTACGGGGGGTTTTACACAATATCTTCAGTAGCAGACACACACACACACACACACACACACACACACACACACACACACATGTAGACCCAAAAATTTATTCACGCGAAAAGGACACGCTTATACATAGCATAGGATGCGGTCTCTCCACTATACAAGATCGGAGGATTATCAATGAAGCACGTCGGATTACGGCGGTTAGTGATGTTCGTTAGACCGCTATTTTAATTAAGACTATTACACGTCCGGCCGCGTGATGTCATCATTGCGACGCTCGTTACGTGCATGGCTCGCGAAATCGTTTCATCCATCTGGCGATTCGTTTTGCAATCATCGCCGATGCAACGTCGACGCATCGATGCTAATCACGAACGCGTCGTTCAACCGTGGTACAGATGAGCGTAAATTTGAGCTTTCAACATCTAATTATTCGTCGCGCTGTTCCGGATTATTTCGTGTAATCCGTGGGTGTCATGACGAATCATGGAAACTCATTAGCCTTCATGACTCGAAATAGTATTCGAGGAAATGCGTACTATTTCTCAACGAGTCGTATCTTTTTCTCCGAAGTTGCATATAAAAACGGAATTTCATAGATAGCGATGCTAGGTGTATATTCTCTCTCTGTATTCAAAGTTAGGAGGATTCCTTTTTCGAATGACGATACCTCGGGCGATATTTCCGACCGAAGTATCTTTCTATATGTCATATTTTCGCGTGATGGAAAATGTTTCTCAACGTCAAATTCGTTGAAATGGATCGTGTCGGCGGAACGTCTACGTCAAATTTGTCGAGAGAAACAAAAAGAAGGAAAATACCAAACTCTTTTGTCAATTTTAATTTACAAAATAAACTTTTTATATTTTAGCAATTTATCTGTATTTTCACAAAACAAAAGAACAGTCCTTTTCAGGGTTTAGAAATATATCGTTCAAATCTAGTGGACGAAAACTATTTCGGAGAATATCTGTAAACAATCATAAAGTCTATTTTCGAAAGTTATACATTGACATCCGGAAATGTTAATATATAATATGAGCAAGAATTTCATCGGGATGTAGATAACGAGATTTTACACGAATGAGTAAGCCGATGTTTAAACAAATGCATCGATCGAACGTTTATTAATTCCACGTAACGTCCTTTCGCAATCATTGCGGCCATGCTGCACGCACTAATCACGATTGGTTTCGGTTTTCATGGCGGATTGCTGGCTTGGTAAATAACCGAGTGAACAAATATCTCGACAGAGCATTTGTCAATAACAGGCTGAAATTAATAGGACGGTAATACAGATTAGATTGTGTTAGAGAGATATTAATATAATATAATATTAATTTGTATCATCAAAAATATGTGTTCACTTTTCACGGGACAAGTAATTTTGGATTTTTTGGAAAAACGGTATTGCCTCTAACAATAAAAGATTTACAATTCAAAGAATTTTATACAAAAATTTATACAAAATATTTTTTTCAAAAATTTTGCATGGTGAAAGGGAAAATTTCGAAAAATGTAATATTTTCTCTATAAACTGATAGGACACACGTGCACGCACAATCTGAATCGTGAAATGTAATTAAGCTGTATGAAATAAGAACGCTTCTTTCTCTTTTGCGCTTTTACAATATTAAATTACAGTAACCGGAATGTTGTGTCTCTGAAAAGCGATACATATGAATTTAATTAAACGTTTGTTTATTTATCTAAACAAATGATTCTTTCTATCTCTTTCGCGTCTATCAGTAATGCTGCTTCGGTGACATAATATCACGTTACCTTTATAGAATGGCGTCGTTTCCGCTGCATTTTTGTTCATATTTATGACGACGTCTCGCGACCCATTTCCGTTCATCTCCCCATCTCGATATCAACGTACAATCGATTTCAACGTCTCGTTCCCTCTGAACGTTTACGTATCTACCTGTCCGCTTTATTTATTTATTTATTTGCTCACTCGAATGAGAAGGGATTGCGATCGCTGCAACATCGTCGTATTAATATACGTTTGAGTGCGATCGATTTATTTAAACGTGGTTTATTTATTCGCATGCGGATGTTTATTCAGCTTCAACTTCGCATTGCGATGAACGCGAGTTGGTCGAGAGATCGCGTGTGTTGTTGTATCAAGATTGATTCTAGTTGCAATCGAGACGTTTTGTTCTGAGATATTATTGACGGATCCATCCGGCTATTGCAATACACGAAAAATTGATATATTCGATTGTCGAATCTTTAAAAAAACTCATATATCTCCTGGGAAATATTAAAAATTAATAGTTCGGTCAGTACGTATTTTTGCGTCATTATTCTGGTAATCTGAAATAATCATTATACGTGTGTGACGTGCAAGCAGCGCAAGAAAAAATTTATTTCTCCAAGACAGTGTCAAGTATTTGTCGCTCCTCTCGAAATGTTTCGCGAATCGGATATTTCTCTGAAAATGTTACTGCTTTTCTGCAGAAACGCCGCTTCAATTTACTGCTCCAATCGTGAATCTCATTTACGGGACTCAGCATCGCGGAAAGCGGCTTACAAAAAATTTAAAGGAGCTTTAGTTTTAAAGCTGACTTCGAGATAATTTGTGTCGCGAACTACACGTTAAAGTCCACTTTAAATCTCGACTAACTTGAAATTCCTCGAGCAAAACCGTTTTCGCGTCGCCGTCGTCCAGGAATTATCTCTTGCTTCTTTAAACCGTCGCCGTGTTGCGATAGAATAATTAATCGTATGGAATAATTAATGGATCGGCTAATGGCTTTCCATTCCATAGAATTTATATGCTCCAAAATAATGCTTGAAAATAATAATTAATTTTGGTAAACAACCCTTATAATGTTGCTAGATATTACATTTTACTTTATGATTTAGAAACTAACATATGGAGAAAGTATAAAAAATGATAAAATAGAAAAATATTATTATGGATAATTAGCAATGTTAATATTAATTATAGAAATTTAACTTAAAAAATTGAAATATATTTAGAGGGAAATATTGTGTTCGCTGAAAATAAATCATCGATAATACCATTTACCGCTTCTAATCCTCAAATCGCTACGCGATTGACGTTGTTGGAAATATTGATTAAACTTTGTCTTTTAGAAAACATTAATAAACTGTTTAAATCACCGGAAAGCGTTAGAGAGAGAATAGGCGGCGTCACGCGAATAATGGCGAGACAACGTGAAGATTTTCATAGCGACATTTTCTCAAGGACTGGCTGCTCAAAAGCAACGTTCATTAATCCGCGAGAAAACGTGGCGCTTCATTATTTACATCCGCAGAACTTCGCTTCGCGGTCTTGCTTACACGGCGCGCGCCGTCGCCCGCCATTTAAACTGTCGCCGCGTCCGACGCGGTGATTAACCGAGCGGGTGATCGTAATTAACGGCCCGGCACGACGCCTACGAAACTTAAGGACCGTGACCGTGCAATCTTCTCGGATCACGAAGCACACCGCAAGCCGCCGCCGGGGCTTATTTCGAGACCTTATTCACGTTTCGGAACATTTCAGTCTTCCATTAGGTTGATTGATCTGTTCTTTTTTTTTTTTTTGCAGCGTGTCGCATGTGCGATATTTCAATTAAAGAATACTTTATATACTCTAGAAGACTTTAAATTCTTAATTTAATTGGATTTTATGGGTAATAAGCTGAGATGCTTTAAGGTTTTATTTGAAAAATAATGGCTTTCATCTCATAGTTGTTTAATGATGGAAAGACAAGGGAAATGAAGAAGTATGTAATCTTATATTATATTTTCCTTGCGTCTTTTGTCCTAGCTAAAGAAGATAATAAAGCTATACAAAGCTCTTAGGATACGTCTCGTCTGTCTCTTGACGTGTATGTCATTCCCTACGATCACCCTTTTCATCTCTGCGCATTCTATAT